ATATTTAATTACTTGTTACTAAAATTGTTGTGCCTTCAAATAAAGTTATCATTTATTTGTCATTTTTATTCCACATTAACTCTATCTACAAGTGATAATTACTATGTTTTAGTAGATAAAATCAATTCATGTTTAGTAGATAAAATCAAGTCAAAAACGACTCACTCACTAATTTTAGACCTTATCGGTTTTTTTTTAATATTCTTTCAGTTTCTCGTCTTTTTCGTTCTACTGCTGCTGTCAGTTCCGAGTCTATTAGTAGTTATCTGCTTGGTAGAATCTTGGACTGCCAGTTTTATTTTGTTACTGAATTAGGGGGAGGGATGTGGATCGTTAATATTTTTTTCGATAATTGAGCATACTTTAAGGAGTAAATATCTATAAAAATTTCTTTGTTATATGACACATTCACAATTTCATGATCATGGATCTCAATATTCACCAGTTTTATAAATTTCAGACATTGCTTGCTCTTCCACAGTAATCAATAGATTTTAGTTTCAGTTACGCATATTCACACGGGGCCTCCCTTAGCTCAGTCGGTAAAGGCGAAGCTACAAAGCAAGACCATTCTGGAAGTGGCTGCGTTCGATTCCCGGTCCGGTTTGGGAATTTTTCGGGTTGGATTGGCGCGATGTTTACAGAGATGCTTTTATCACTACCATCAAATGAGAAAACGATGAGAAAGATTTTCTGTTTTCTCATTGTCGTATGATGGCAGTGATATTTATCAGCTCTGGTTGGCATAATCAAAATCGAAATCGTTTGCATGCTTGAAACAACATTGGTAATTTCTGCAATATCGCACTTAAATTTACATGAAATATCATGTAAATTCACGCCAAATATAGCGTTAATTACGTGTGCGCTATATATCGCAGAATTTTACATAATTTTTTTTCAAACGGTGTAGGGTAGAGCACTACTTCGTCGTAATCGCCCATTTTCATTCTATAGATCAGAAAAGATCAATAATATCAATGATTTCACCGTGCACAAATCAATAATAAGTTTGCGTTAGTTCATTAGATGCAACATAAATCATGTTAGAGCGCATTGTATGAATATTTACGCTCATTGTTCCCAAAACAAAAGAAGCGCTCCTAGCGAATCCCCTTTTTCTACGTTTATCCGTAGGACGAAGACAATCTAATGGCGTTTCAATTCGTTGGACGGAATTGAAACTCGTGGGACAAATTTAGAATCAAGAAGTGCTCAGTATTAGATTTTAAACAATATTTCTACAATGTGTGACTCTTTATCAAATCCAACGGTACGTATGGAAAGGTGAATAAATTTAGAAGTCATTTTTGACAGAAATATTCCATTTTTTGTTTAACCTCGTTCAGTAAAGAGAAGTAAAGCGCGGGTTGTGCTTAGTAGGACGGAAATTAGATCAAAAACCCTATCTGGCGTGATGCACGAACAAAAGTTCACTTTCACTGATAAATTTACTTGGAAACTCTAGATCTGGTAAAAGTGTTGCAGATGCGGACAAAAAAACAGGTTTTCTTCACAAATAAGGTGTACAAGCAGAAGTTAGGGGAAAACACATTCTACCGCTCATTAAGGGACACAAAGGACTTGTTAAGTTTTCTCCGGATTTGACCAGCTGCCACGCAACAACGGGTTTGGATTTCATTTAGAATGACATCAATCCTCCCGACTCTCCCCGATTTCACCCTCCGATCGAACGGTATTGGGCGTTTGTCAAGCGGAAGCTCAAAAGAACCGGCAAGGTGACGCGGGATTCCGTTGACTCAGGGCTAGATTCATCGTGGAAAAAGTTCGGGAGTGCATCCGAGCTCCACCGGAATATATTTTTATAATTTATACCAATACATTCCTACACGGTTAAACAAAACAACCCAACGGCTGAGTCCTTTAAACTAACTATTGAGTGGGTGCCTCTCATTCGCATGTTTGTTGTCAAAAAAGAGAAAACCAAACAATCTAAAGGGCGTACATTTGACGTAAATTTAACAGTTAAACAATAGATTTAGCTGTCACTTTGCCGCAACGCGTCAGATCCGGATCTAATATGTAAGCAACGTGCATTAGTATACAACTTAAAGCTGTGTAGTTTGAACTTGACTTTGGGTGAATATAACTTACAAATAAGTAGTTTGTTTTCATGCGAGTGAATGACAATAACACCATAACTCAAAATTAAGTTGGCACACGCAACTGTCGACCTAGGTGAATGGAACTCAATATTAAGTACTTGTAGTGTCGATTTCATGTGTCCCAAGTTGGACTGGACCACACTTTTTGTAATGAATATCTGAACATTTTCCCCGCCCGCGATTTCAGAATCTAAGCATATCCCAACTGCCGAATGTAAAATCGGTGCGAAGTTTTCATTGACCTAAGTTTTCCATGTAAAAATCCTGAACAACCAGCTACATTGACAAGCTTTTTATTTTGCAGGGAGCTCGTCTGTTGTCTGTATTTGTTGTTATTTGTCCTGATCTTGAGCGCAAAGTCTCGCGATCCATTTTAACTAACCTGACGACGACGGTACAATAATGCCTGAAGGCGACATGGCGGGTGGTGATGATCGCTCCGCATGTAGGATTGAGCATGGCGTCAAATGGAGGTGGCGGTGGTACCGGTCGAAGTGAGAGGCGCAACGATTTCGGCAATGTTAAGTTCAATGTTAAATGCGGTCGCGGTTGTTTTCGTTTACTTTGTTCTCGGCTTTTGCTCTCTTTCTTCCCCGAGGAATTCGGACTCTGAGGTTGCCGTTTTTGTATGTACCCTTGTCCGCCAGAGCGCCGTGTGGATTGAGACAAACAGCCGGAGATACAAATCGCAGAGTCTAGAGGCCGTACTCAGGGCGGGTAAAGATGTTTCATTGGGGAAAACGACAATTTGTTTATTTTTTGCACTGATCAGTACACGTTGTTGGTGGTGTTTTGTTTTTCATATTTGAATAAGTTGAGGTTGAGAGAAAGCGTCGCTGTCACTGATGAGGAGAGCGCACTCGTGCGGTCTCGTTGATGCACCCCTTCTGGGAGTGACTTCGTTGTATGAAGGATTACACTGAGAGCCGCCATCAAAATAAGCCATATCATTTCCATATGCGTCGGTATTGATGGGAGGATTCCATCGAGGTTTGCCTTTTGTAGTGCTCCTTCGTTCCTACGTGAGTGTTGTTCGTGATTGGAAGATTTGTGATTTCTATTTGTTTTATGAGTCTCAACTTTGTTCAATTCGCGCATTGGGATTCGCAGGTTCGCGGCTTATCGGTTTTGCTGGTCTTGGTCTGGCTATTCACATATTTTTTTATTTACATTCTACACTCATCGACGGCGGTCAGATTTTGGAACATTTTCAAGACGTGCTAATTTTATTACCATTCCTGCACAGAAATGATGGTTTTATTTCGTTTTATGATTTAGAGACCATTAAACTACGTCTACCAGTAGATACGGAGAGGCATATTAAGGGTAACGGATTCAGTAACCATATAAGCATACAAGAGAAGGAGCAGTTTGATGGTTGTTTTTCATGTCTTTTGTACAACAGTAGAAACTGGGAATTGATCGGTATTAAAAGATGAGATCGTTGAATATTTAAAGAGCTATTTTTAGATAGTACGCACCCATAGAATTAATCTAGCAAATAAGCCGCATGATTTCCATTAAGCATAAGCGTAATTTTACGCCCATTATCCTATAATTCATTCATTCATTCGCGGTGAAGAGAGTACTATTGGAAAATATTTCCGATTAATGAGTTATTTTGCTGTAGAAAAAGTGATGACCTTGAGATGCTGGCTACATAATAGATACTATTTCTGAACAAATGAGTTCTGATGGACCTTGTTTACTGAACTGCTTAATAATTCTTTTATTTCTATAAAATAATAAGAGTTAAACCCTCTCCTTGCGGTTGTCATTTCGTCAGGCAATTTTTGCAAATTGATTTATAGGATTTTTCAATAATTTCAATTTGGTTATTTAAAAAAAAATAGGATCGAAAGAGTTTTTAAGATTACCGCGAGTGAACAAACCGGTGCTTTTCGGGTGACAGAATTTGGAGGGATCTATCTGCTTATGAATTAATGATATATGCCTATTCCCAAATACTACTAAATACGTGCTGGATTTCCAAACTTTACGTTTAGAAATTCTGAAAATCCACCGATCTTAATAATGGGCAAATCACCTACGACGCAGCTAATAAATGTTCAACTTAACCGTGCAGCAGCTTGAATCAAAATGACCATTAACCAACTGTCAGGAAATGTGTATGAAAAGTCATGACCTCCCTAGTTATTATCCATCTCATATCTTACTTCTCAGTGCGCAGAACAATCAGGTTCATCGAGTCATTTTCATATGAATATGAACTGCCATCTGCCTCATCAATCACTGCCTCGTGAGAGTCTGAATGATTGAGAGGTAAACGAGTCACTGACAGCCGAGCACTCAGTCAGCAGCTTAGTCAGTACGTTTATTCTTCCGTGATGGTACTCAATACTTGTTATGAATGACTGAGCGTACATTTTCTATGGAAAAATGCCTGCGTGAGCGAAGGCAAGCGGTGTGAGTCACCTGTTCGTGAGTGACTGAATGTTTTTGTTGGCTCTTTCATTGTCTCTTCCTTTACCGTTTGGTACAAACGGTCTGTACAGAGCAATGGATTGAATAGTGCAGTGCTTTCACACTCAGCAAGACAGTCAATAATTTTACGCTCTGTTACTTCTCCTTCGGTATAAAAGTTATACAATTTTTTTTATTATTAATAATTAATGATAATGAATAACTGAATGCTGTCAGTTGATAATGTCAATACAAAAAAAGTATGGAGAGTTGATTTTATTTCCATTTTTTTGGCGTAATCATGGAAAACAATATGTTTTAGTTTTGTTCCGCAAAAATTTGCTGAACCACCAGTGTCAATTTTTACATTAAAATCAGTATTTCTCATTTTTTTTTTTTCATACAAACAAAAACAAATCGCCGTATCTTTTTTTAGCGACATCAGTGGCATCAGCTGCGTCTAGAATTAAAATTTAGTTTGACAACGTTAATCGACTGGTGATTTTCACAGTAGTCTGGATCCAGATCACAATATCTGCTGTTCGATTCGGACAATTTTTGCAGCAAAGCCTCAAGGCGATCATTGTTGGACATGCGATTCTGCTGTTCGTCTGCCTGTTGTTGTTTAACTAGCTTCTCAATGCGAGCTTTGTACATCTCGACAAGCCGCTGCTTCTCGGTATCAATGTCATCGTTGCTTCCGCAAGCACGATCCTGCGTGTGTACGTACGGATCCTTGGAATGGATCGACGAGGTCGTAATGTCCTCGAAATGTCCCACATCGGCAAACGAGCTCTGCAACTCTTTATCAAGGTGGACATCTTGTCCATGAACTGCACACTGGTGGATGCCATGGACAATCGGTGAAATGCCTTGAGAGCTGGGCGTGTTTGCATCGTTGGTGGTGTTCTCTTGTACCGTTACGGCGTCCCTGAAGTTTGAACGTTCCTCCGGGGAACTGAGCGATGCTTTGAAGAGCCGCAGCTCAACAACCTCTTTGGTAAGTCTTAGAATTTCAGTATCACGCTGCTCCAGGTCTATGTGAGGCTGCGAGAGCAGCTCCTTCAGTTGTCTGATCTTGTGCTGATACCGCTGGGTTGGGGTATGGTAGTCCTCACCCGTCTGTCCGGCATGGCGCGAGCAATGTATGTACTGCGTATTTCATCATACGGCCACTGAACGTGGTGCCATTGCGGGCCACGTACGGATGGTCGCGTTGTATTTGTGTGGCCTTGCCACTGCGAGGAGACGATTTTTTGCAAATTCGTCCTCACTCGTTTTCTCAGAACGGTCGTCTCGGTCGAGTTCATATTTCCAATTGCAAGTGGGTGATTTGCCCTTTATTACCTATCGGAGGTCTCCAAGATTCCAGGTTCGTCTCCTGCAATTATGGGTTAATTATGGGCAAATCACCCACAAAGCAGCTAATAAATGTTCAGCTTACCCGTGCAGCAGCTTGAATCCAAATGATCTTTCACCAACTGTCAGGCAATGTGTATGAAAAGTCATGACCTACCTAGTTATTATCCATCTCATAGAAATCTGGAAGTGTGGAACACAGATTCATAATTATATGTTAGTTTAGGAACTCAAAATATGTTCAATCGAATCGTTATGGAAAGAGAATTTGCCCAATTTGTCTGTGTATTTGAGAAAAATGTAGTGAAAACTTGAGGAAAGAAGCATTATGATGAACGATGAGGTTTTAGATTCAAAAATGCATTGCTTTATGTTTTGACATTTTTGTTTATTGTTGCATCATTCGATGGAAAATTATTGGCACATATATGTACATGTAATCAATTGACGTTTAAGCGGTGTTTATGCGTTTTATCTTGGAATCAATTTTTGGCGATGTTAGTGTAAGTGCGTGAAAATGCATGTGAAAATCAAGCGTGAGTTTTGGTTTTCATAATCACACGCGAGTTTATTCTTTCAGGATAGCTCAATGAATGAGATTTGAGAGAAACTTTTCGAACACTGATTCTGGAAGCGCCTATTTTTTTTTATCGGTGAAAATGATGCCGTCTTATTTTGCGTGTTTTTACCACCCAAGGAAATATCTGGTATTGGATCGAAAGAACCTAAATTTATGGCCGGTATTAATTTGCAGGTCTAATGTATAAAGCCAGAATGGAAAAGCTGGAATCGATCACTTAATATTTCTATGATGTTTTTTTGCTCAAACTTGCCGCTAAAAATCTAAACGAAGGTCAATTTATGTAAACAGCCAAATCAACTAGAGGCTGAAAATTTTCCGCAATACCCTCGCCTTGTGAAGAGAAGAGAAACCATTTATATTATGAGCGTTGACCAAAGTTTACAATCATCAGTAGACACCAGAAATGCTTCCTCTGTGGAAGAAATTTATGTGTACGAAAATAATAAACGAACTCTGATAAAGACCTGTCAAATGAAGTGCAATAAATCTTGAACCATGCCGCTACTGCAGGATAATCACTCAAGTATATAATTTGCTGATATCGACGAATAATTAAGCCAAAAATAAACGTCCACTGGCGTGACGGACGATCGCAAACACAAGGTGTTCAGAGATAGGACACACTACAAATATGGTCAAATTATTCAGTAATAATTCCAGCAATCAGTTTGCTGGATAATCGAACGCTAATTATTGACAAGAGGAGTGCAGTCGAGGATCGAACAAACAATATTCCATATTTCTTATTCGCGCACTCCTAGCGCACACTCTTATCAGTCATATAAGCTGACATTGGTTGAATAAATAAAAAGCTATTTATAGCAAACCGTAACCAAACAGTCCGTATGTTTCACACAGTTTACATTTGAATGCTAAGTAGAAGCAAACACACGTCGTAAATCCTAAAAGTTACTAAATTTAGCGAGGTTACGTTTCTTTCATGGCTCTTGTTCGAGAGAGCTTCGAGTTAAACTGCAGCTGTAGGAAAAAAGGCAACATTGTATGGTTGGACGCCCCTCGCGGCCTTTACGGTTTACCAGTACAATATTTTGAAGAAACATGAATATACATATGCACATTTCTCTTTGTTTGTGCTGCTGTTTTTTACTTCTGATTCCTGGAGGAAGAAATGCCAAAGCTAGCAAGCACCATAGACTGAAGGTACATCTGTCAATTGGTTGAATTTTAAAACAGATCACCAGATAGTAGTACGTGATGTGACTGCCATTGGTGATGAAATGGCCTTCAACTAGTTTGCATATGCGTCAGACTGACAAACAAAAGTCGATGCATTGTTCGTTCCAGTTACCGTTGATGGGCGCGTGTTTGGAAATGAACCATAAATTCTGTGGAATTTGAATTTATTCCTGATATGTTAGTTAAATCACACGATAAAATCTATCTACAAATACATAAGAATAATAAGATTTATATAACGTAATTTGGATCCATGCACCAATGAGGGGCCTTAGATAGCCTAGTCAGTAAAGGCACGGTATTTTCAAACCGGAGGCGGCGGTTCTATTCCTGGAATCGAGATCGACGAAATCTTTCGGGATGGAAATTTCATCGACTTTCCTCGGTATAGAGTACCATTGCGCTTGTCACACAATATATAATTTCATGCTTGGTTGGCTCATTTAATAACTACGGTTGTCAATTAGGACGCTCATCTTGAACATTTTATAATATTGGTTTGTTCCAACAAGTATAACCATAGAGGTAGCTCTAAGCTTCCAGTCCCGAAGAAACGTGCTCAACTTTTTGGTTCAGCTCTGGTACTCTCTTCGGTCCCAAGCTAATCGATGCACCCCTCGAAACACAGGAAAATCCACGAACCCCTCATTTTATCTGTCAAACATTCATAGCGAATCAAAACAAAGATAGTGTAGTACTAGAATTTCGACTAGAATGGGGTACTTTAATAGATTTGCTTGGGACCAATAGGCTAGACAAGTAGTGAGCCAATTTAAAATCGTTAGTTACCACCGGTTGGTATAACCGTTTCGTTTGGAATCAACCCAATGATTTTATGTTTGGACTGCCACGGTCATGTAAAACCGTTTCCAGCTATTTTCAACAAGCATTACGATGGAAGAAGCTATTATCTAGCAACTAATATGACAAATACAGCCAGAGGCGTTTTTCAACCGAGTAATCAACAAAAGAGAAACTCGATAAAGAGAATCAATCACTGTAGATAGGCCCATATGCATGATCGGGTTGAAATGTTGTTGCGTTTATTTTTCCAGGCTCATTTGCTGTTGATTTGCGGAGCCAATTTTCAGTGTTTGGATTACAAACTTACTTAAAACGAACGTTTGTAAAGCGGGGGCCGATTACTCGCGGCTATCTCGAGGTTAGGGGTAACAATTGCAACAATTGGATGTCAGAGAAGGGATTGAGAACACAGGGTTTGGAGAGCAATGTGTTCTTGATGTAGAACTAAGCGACACACTGATGAAAAAGACAAACATGGGGGTGCACCGATGGGCAGCTAACAACTTGGGAGAACACAAGAGGATACTAACTACTAAATCCTTAGATCGATCCGTTTTAAAAACACATAAATTAAATTTACATATTCGAGATCTCGGCTCGCCAATATGTCTCCAAAGGTTATTTTCCTCGGGCCCTGAGGGATGCGGATGGAGGTTGCATGACCAAAGCACGTGGTCGATCTCGTGATACCTACTACCACAAGCGCACACATTGCTGCCTGTGAGCCGAATTCGGAAGAACTGCGAATCTAACGAGCAGTGATTGGACATGAGCCTCGACATGACACGTACAAAGTCACGGCTCATGTCCAATCCTTTGAACCACGGCTTGTTCGATACCTGTGGGAGAATAGAATGTAGCCATCTTCCCAGATCACTTTCATTCCATTTTTGTTGCCAGTTGGTTAGGATGTGCTGACGGGTAATTGAGAAAAATTCCGCAAAGGCGATTTGTTGATCAAAAATATCGCTTTCCATAGCGCCCACCGTAGCTAGCGAGTCCGCTTTCTCATTACCCGGAATTGAGCAATGAGATGGGATCCAAACTAAGTATAGGAGCAGTTAGATAAAGAACTCAGTTTAGATCGTATTTCAGGCAGGAAATACGAGGAGTGCTTCATCGGCCTCATTGAACGAATAACCTCCAATGAGCTAAGACTATCCGTAAAATCAAAAAAATTGTTAAAGGGTAGTGATGCAATTAGCTCTACTGCGTAGAATATATCTGCTAATTCCGAAACATATACGGAACGCGGTTTTTGCAGTTGAAATGAGGCGCTATGAAATTCGTGGAATGCTCCAAATCCAGTGAAAGCGTTTATAGTTGACCTAGTGGGAACACTTCTTGGATCACAACAAATTAAAATAGCGAGTACGAGCGCTTTTCGATACGTAATTGATCTGAATGTAATTTCAACTATTATTTTTATGTGAAATGTATTTTAATTGGAGATCAAAATTGGGCACTCTTGGTTTCCAGGTGCTGCATCCGCCACCCTGGCACTCGATTTCCATCGGCTATAAATCACCAATTAACAATCGGAGCACTTTGGGGATTAGAATAGAAGGATAATAATAATAATAATAATAATAATAATAATAATAAAGCGTTCCCACATGAACAAAGTCCAAACGAAGTATTGAATAACATGACAAGATTCGCCAAGTACCTTGATTTAACGTAGTAAATCTTTAGATCCTGGAAAGACGAGTTATTTTCGGACTTTTGTACGGAATATTGCAGATGGTTATCATTTTATTTTATAAGGATTACGGTCTTTTTTATTAGAATATTCCTCAATGAGTTCATACTGAGCATTGATTCCGAGAACGTTTAACTCATAGCGCAAGGATACAAGCTTGTGTTTCACCTCGACTGTGATCATTGCTCAGAGTTTGCTTGTTATTCTCGAAATGTGAATTTTTTAATCTAGATATTTTGATATTCACAGTATTTGGATGATCCAACCACCATTTTTTACCATCGAATTCGAAGCAGTTCCATTGAAACTTGTGCTGCGTGACACGTTTCATGAATCGTAATGCTTAGTCATGAATCGCAACATATGGCAGGGTTTCCATTGGGAAAGAGCCTTTTACCTCCCGCAGCTGTTGAATGTTTCGAAATATGCACAACCCAGAACCACAGTTTTCGCGGTTACATATGGTATTTATTCCACTAAGCACATCGAAACGATGAGGAAGCACATGTTGCCTAATGAAGAAAAAAACAGTCTGCGACAATCTCA